GGGTCTCGAACCCATGGACTCAGGCAATCCACTCACCTCAGCCTCCCAAAGCACGGGATTACAGGCTGAGCCATCAAGCCCGGCTATCCCAGAGGTTTTGGTAAGATGTTTCTTCATTTCCATTTGTTTCCAGGTATCTTTTAATCTCTCTTTTGAATTCCATGTTGACCCAGGAGTTGCTTAGCATCATGCTGTTTAGAGTTCATATCCTTGCAGGTTTTGGGGAAGCTTTGTTGGTGCTGATACTTATTTTTATTCCACTGTGGTCTGAGAAAGTGCATGGCAGGATTTTAATCTTGTGAAATGTGTTTATGCTTGATTTATGGCCAAGGATGTGGTCAGTCTTAGAGTACGTTCCATGTGGTGATGAGTAGAATGTATATTCCGTGGTTGTTGGGTGGAATATTCTGTAGGTATCTATTAAGTCCATTTGGTCAAGCGTCATGTTGAAGTTCTGAATCTCCTTGTTGATTTTTTTGTCTTGATGAGCTGTCTAGAGTCATGAGTAGGGTGTTTAAGTCCCCAGCTATGATAGTGTTAGAGTCAGTATTTTTTTAAAGTTTACCTAGAAGCTGCTTTATGCACCTATGTTGGGTGCATATATGTTTAGGATGGATATTTCTTGTTGATGGATTGAACCTTTTCATTATGTAGTGACCTTCCTTATCTTTTTAAATTTTTGATAGCTTAAAGGATATTTTGTCTGATACCAAGATCACAACTCCTGCTTTCTTTTGTGTTCCGTTCGCCTGAAATTAGACAATGGATTTAGACTTAAATCTGCGCTTTTAAGAGATTTCATCCCAAAACTGTGCTCTTCGTCAAGCAGCTCCTTCTTGTCATTTTGGTCTCAGCCAGATATTTCCTTCTCAGACAGGCCTTCCCCAAATAGGCCATCAGGTTTCTCAGTCACATCACCCTGGTGTATTTTCTGCAAAAGACGTTATCACTATTTGTATTTTCTTATGTATTCATTTATTGTCTCTTCATGATGTAAAGTATCATGGAGCTGAACCTCGTTTGCCTTAGCCACTGTTGAACTCCTGTCACATGGCAGGTAGTGGTCACTGATCAAATACTTCATGTAGAGACTGCTGACCAGATCGTGTCCCAAGTAAACTGAGAGAAAAGGAGACTTCTAATCTATTAACCTTCTTTGCCAGTTCTGTAATGTCAAATAGACAAAAGTCCAATTCACAATTGGAGGAGAGGAACAGTATTGTATAGTAAGTAAGAAATATCACAAACTACATTTCTTCATTTTGTTCCCTGGTTTGACATAAAAATTGGAGATGGTGAGAGGGGTTGCCTTGGCTTGCCTTCATCTGTGCAATTTACACCTGGAGACCTTCTCAGATCGCAAAGCCATCGATGCCATTTTGTGCGTGATCCCTGCCTGTGCTATGTACAGGGCAGTGAGGTGAGAGCTGGTTGGCTGGCCTGCTGGTAGACTGCTGGTAGACTGCTGGACTAATGCATTCTGGGCATCAGGCCCCCAGCCACCAAGAATCAAATGTGTTCCTTGGCAAAATTACAAATGGTCACATAGTATGGAACTTCAGGGGTGCTTAAGAATAGTTAGAGGCTTTAATTACTCAACCTAGGTCTGTCTGGAAGTCACGCCACTGAGTATTTGGGGAAGATGGATCTTGGAGCACACAGCTGCAGGAGGGAGAGCAAGGAACTTGCATACCATCTTCTGAATCAAGGGACTGGTCACTGTTCCCTCCTTTTTTTTTTTTTGAGTTGGAGTCTCACTCTGTCGCTCAGGCTGGAGTGCAGTGGCACGCTCCCAGCCACCACACAGCCTTGACCTGCGGGGCTCAGGCGATCCTTCCACTCCAGCCTTCCAAGTAGCCAGAACTACAGGCCTGTGCCACCATGCTCAGCTAATTTTTTTATTTATTGTAGGGACCGGGCCTCGAAAAGTTGCCCAAGCTGGTCTCGAACCCCTGGTCTCAAGCAATTGTCTCGCCCTGGCCTCCCAAAGTATTGAATTTACAGACTTGAGCCACCGTGCCCGGCAGTCCCCTCTGTCTTCATTGCATTTTGCCCTTTTGTCCATTGTGTTATTTTTTTTCTCTCACCTGACTCCTGTTAGAGCCAGTAAGGTCCTTGCTGTGTAGCAGTGTTAGGAGAAGAAACAGCACACGGAATGTGCATTAGGTTTGATCACAGCCTTCAAAAATGCCAGGAGTCAGGAGTTGGCGTGAAGGAACTGTTTTTCATAAAGGTAAAAAACTCATGAGTTGGTATTTCTTAGTGAAACACAATGTACTTTCTGCAGAAATGTTTGTAAACCTGAGTCACTTTCCATTCTGTTCCCTGTTGTGTCCCGCTACAATGAGAGAAGGAGAGACCCGTGCTCCATGGGCCTGGGTTCCAGCCTGCCTGGCCTGTACACTCCGCACAGAGCTGTGCCACTCTTGTACCATTTCCCCAAGAGCTTGACTGTGTGGGCAGTCATGGCAAAGTAACTGCCACCTAGCTATATCATTTCTTTACACTTAGTGCAGAAGACATGTTTTGAGCGAAGCAGCATGTGTGTTGGAGAGAGGAAAGGAAGTGAGGACAAGTGAATGGTGACCCTGGGCTTCCTTACCTTTCTGTGTTAGGGTTGACTCTTAAGCTTCTGGTGGGACCTGAGTGCCAGTTCAGCCCAGTCTCTGCCCACAGGCTGCACCTGTGCCTTCCTCTTTCCCAGAAAAGGCCCAGAAGGAACCTGCTCCTTCTCCTCCCTCCCACTCCTGCTTTGCTGCTTCCGTCCGCCCTTGATTGACCCCTTGGCAAGGTTGGAGCATGTCATGTATAGAATGAGTAGAACAAGCGAGAACCATTGTTGTTTCAAAGAGCACATGGAGATGGGAGGGTTGTGAGAATGATGGTGACGGTATATCTGTTACTGGATTCCCTTCAAAGGGGGCTAGGAATAAACAGGTGGGATGTCGCCACATCTTCCAGAGGTGCTAACATGGAAGAGAGTGGCTTGCTGGGTCTCACTGTGACTGTTAGAGATCTGCTAAGAGATGAATTGTCGGGAGTGTGAAGAGTCTGCTGGCCTCCTTCAAGGCCACATTTACAAGTGCTATCAGTCTTAGCCAGATGCCAGCATTTCACAGCTACCCAAAAGGATGTGGGAATAGAAATTACAGGTGCATTTGGCTAATTATGCCCCTTTCTTGACTAAATTACAGGTTCTGACAGCCAGGTGGTCATTATTTTGATTGGTCTAATTAGTCAGATGTGTTCGCAAGCAGCTGCATGCAGCGTTCTGGGCAGGTTCAGGAAAGGCAGAGAAAGTCCAGTCGAAGCCTTTGCAGAACTTGTCCTCAGATGCGTAATGAGTTCTTAACAGCTGGTATAATTAATGGCATAAACACCTAAAGTTCTGCAATCGCGTTTAAGGAGCAAAAGACATGGAAAAGGTCCCCTTGTAGCCAAAGGAAAATTGTCATTCAGTGCAGGGCGGGTGAGTGGTTTCCTGTGTAGCCATGGACAGAAGCATCTTATTTGGTCAGAAAAGCGCCCAACCACCATCCTTGTGTGTAGCACATAAGCGAATGTCCTCTCGCTCTAAACAAAGCTAGTCTTACTGCCTTTTTATAATAAACTTGAGGCATCTCGAGTATGAGGTGCTCTACCTCGATGACTGTGTTCCTCAGCAAGCTTTTTAAATCGTCATGACAGAAGGAGACTGCTCCAAGCCTTTTTACAGTAATGGGAGGCCTGCAACCCTGAAGAAAGTAGGACTCTATCCTGCAGCGGTCAGCCTTGGATGTACTCAAGAGGAGCCTTCCTGGAAGAAAGCTTCTGGGAATTACGATGCCGTACAAAGGCTTGATTCTGACCTCCCCGCCACCCAGGCCTAACACACCAGCTGACCTCTCATTAGTCTAGACTTGCTGCTTTTTTCCAACTTTCATTTTGCCAGCTATATGCCTTTTGGGAACCTGTGGCTTAATGTTTTATTTCTCCGTCGAGAGCAGGAATAGTTCCCTTGGACACTCTGGGAGGGGATGGCATTGCCTGTGTTCTGGCTGACTCTGGGAGGAGACAGTTATGCTTATGCTCTGGCTGACTCTGGGTGGGGACACAGTGCCTGTGCGCTAAGTGACTCAGAGGAAACAGCCGTTCCCATTCTCCGAGTGGGGCCGACTCTGGAAGGGGACATCCATGCCCGCTCTCTGACTGACTCTGGGAGGGCATGGTGGTGCCTGGGCTCTGACTGACTGACTGACTCTGGGATGGGACAGGCATGCTTGTGCGCTCATCGACCTTGGGAGGGGACAACAGTGCCCATGCTCTCTCTGGCTGACTCCGGGGGGGGGGGACAGTCATGCTTGTGCTCTGACTGGCCCTGGGAGGGGCGGCAGTGCCCGTGCACTGACTGATGCTCTGGTTTGTCTCTGCCTAGATGAATTCTGGTTCTCCGACGGGTCCTTATCGGACAAGTCCAAGTGCGCAGACCCTGGCCTGATGCCCCTCCCGGATACAGCCGCGGGGCTAGCTTGGACCCACCTCGTGGATGCCGCACGGGCATTTGAAGGTAAAGGCTCGCCAGCCCGGGGGCCTCGCCCTCCCCGGGGTGCTTTCCTGCCGGGCCTGTGTGGCCGGGTCTGTGTTGGGGGTCGTCCGACTCGAGTCTCGGACGCCTTGCCGTTGTCGGATGATGAAAACAAGCAGGAGAGGGAGTCCCGGGCGAGGGGTCCCCAGACCCGAATTCTCAGTAAAGCGTCTGCCATGACCCGGGCAGGACAAGCCGTCTTCCCTCTCTGACCTCTCTCTCCTAGCTGCAAAAGAGAGGCGACTGGGTAGGATGCACACTGTGTCTTTCCTCCCAGCATCATGCGGCGAGATAGGAAGGAGGCCCTTCAGATGAGCAGAGGTGTGGGTGAGGTGTCCAGAGGCTTGGTGCCAGTGTGGACTCTGCTGTGATTTGCTTGACCTGTGTGTGTCTGTCCACCTGTCTGGGCCTCAGCTTCCGCCTCTGAAGATGGTCAGCGAAGGTGGCTGGGCCGGCCAGTCTCTCAGGGTCCTTCCAGCTGCCTAATGTGCGTCATTTCTGCTGTAAGAGAAGGTCGACGGTACCCTTTAGGGAACACCTTTTTCAAGATCGTGGTTAGAGATGGAGCAAGGAAAACACCTGCTTCACTGGCACACTTGGGACATCACATGTGATTTGGTATAAACCATGACTTTTGTGACTTTCTGCCCTTGGCTGCTGTGTTGCATTGGTGTACTTTCATGATGATAGCTCTGGCCTTGGGGTAGCTGGCGGCTCGAACCGACAAAGGAGACAGGATCGTTTCAGTCGGGGCTGTTTTATCCTCTGCCCTTTACGAGACTCTCCTGGTGTAACTGAGTCACAATATCCTGGCGGCACCCAAATCCTGAGACACCCTTCTGCTCTCACTCCCTTTCCTATTCCCCTTCTCAGTCTCAGGTAGCTGAGCCCCCCCACCTGTGGCGTCAGGCCTCAGGAAACAGAATCTGCTACTTTCCCCAGGAGAGCAGGTACGTTTTGAAATCAGGCTGCAGGAGGTTGAGCTTTCATTGCCCCTCACCTCCAACCGAGCCACTTGAGAAACCTGCCGGCTTTACTCTAACACTGGGTGTTGGCGCCTCTGACTCTGCCTCTGGGGGCAGGAGTTGGAATCCATCCCAAGTCAATTCAGACACCAGGGAAGTAGGTGAAAGGAATGAGAAAGCTTTCAGAGTCCCTGTTAGGAGAAAGCTTCTGCAGTATGGGTGTGCCTCACTGCTCCCATGACAGAAGGAATGAGACAGCTTTCAGAGTCCCTGCTTTTCAGAGCACTTGCTCCTTGGGGGAGGTGCCGAATGCCCATCTGCTTGGTGGTGAGGCTCTCATCCTCTGACATCACCAGAAGTTTGTTGCATATCGTGAACGCCCCGGGTCTGTGGCCCCATTGTTTCCAGGTCTCCCCATGCTTCTAGCACTGCTAGAATGACCCAGCACAGGAATACTGCCTTTATCTCTGTCCAGTGCAACCCAGGCAGCTGGAAACAGCATCTTCTCTGGCATGTTATTTATTCTCTACTCTGACCAGGAGAGTGTGAAGCCGTGTGTTTTGTGCTCCAGGCATCAGTATCCGCATAGTTCTCACCACACTGAGTTCTGCTTCGTTCCCATGTCTGTCTCTTCTTATTAGTGATGAGTTTCTCAAGGGAAGGTGCTTATTTTATTTCTTTTATCTTTACTTATCACACATGTATCAGGATAACCCAGTGAGAAGCGCTACTCTCATAGAGTAAGTCAGTATTAAATGTACATGGTTCTGCACAGCCTGGAGCTATCCCAACCCATAGCATCTTTTTTGACCTCTGAGATCCTTTTGCATTTTTGTGTTCATCTTTCAGATTTAAAGCAATATTTATCACCTTTTCTCTGTATTCACCATCATTTGTGTCTCTGCTTGGTTCCCTTCCACCCTCTTCAGATTATCCTTCAGTATAAAATCACAGCTGTACAATGGATTGTTTCAGAGAGGTAGAGAAAGCAGAATCACACTTGTAACAGTTACTGCCTAAATAAATTATCAGTCCAGGGGTGTGGATCATCATCGTAGCTCTCGGCTGCTGGGCTGTGGGCCTTCAGACAAACCTCTTAGCTACTATGACACATGCACTTTTGCCAACACTGTTCCAGGTCCTTCACAAATACGACCTCAGTGAATGTTCAACAGTCCATCCTCTGGGCATGTGCTTAACTGATGTGGGCTTCAGTCTTCTCATCTATAAAATGAGAACTTTGTTTGAGGAACCTGCAGGCTTCTCGAACAAAGTCCTAAACCTTCAGTTCTGTGGTTCTGTTCATCAGAGAGTATTTTTAAGCTGAAGTAAGAGCATAGGCTGTAGTGGGCACACACGGGAGAAAGTATAACCTGGAAACTCTCCCAACCAGTGTCCCTAGGTGCACAAGTGCCGACATTAAACAGAAAATAATGTGAGATTCTGTTTGCCAGAGAAGACTCTGGCTATCTGGCCTTTGGCATTGATAGAAAAATAATATGGAAAGAGTTAAGGCCATGTTTAAAAAGTTCAGTGATTTTTGTTGCTACTTCATGTAGTACCATCCCATGTGAGACAGTATTCAGCTTATGAAATTTAGTTGACAATTTGTAACTAATCAGATTTTCTTGCATCAGTGTCGCCTTGGGGTACATCCCAGGGACCTCCTCTACTCTCCTGAGTTGCGTGTTGGTGAACGGAGTTTGATCAGTCTCCTCAGCACTTGAAAGAGACACGTCTTTAAGGATAACTTGGTTGCCCTGCTCATGTCTTTATCTTTTTGTACCATATCTCACAGCTATTTCTGAGCTAGAGTAAGCATTATAAAGAATAGATAATCCAAAAAATGCCCATGTGCCTGTTTGTGCCATCATTAACTAACAAAGGCAGTTTGAAATGTCTTACTGAGCCAGACTCTTCAGATGAATCCTCTGCCCAAACTTAGATACAAGTCATCAGCCCATCAGAAAACAGGCTTTTGAAAATGGAATTTATCTGCCTATTGGATTGAGGTCTCGTGGCTCTTATACAATCCCGTAGCGTAATTGATCCCTAGCAGATGTGTCTTTCCCCCGTTCATCGACCTTATTCATGCTACACGTTTCAGCTTGTATGTTGACCTTTATTTAAGAGCTAAAGTGGACACTGGACGCAAGTTTAAGAGTCTGGGTTTTACTGTGCCCTTTGAGAAGAGAGCAGAGGCACCAGTTTAAGCTATTCACCCATGGCTGCTTAAATACATTCTATATTAGAAGAACCTACACAGAGGGTATGGTTATAGGTGGAGTCGCTGGGCATTCTCTGCATAAGCATGCAGTATAAGCCCCCTCCAAACAGGAGGAGCATTTTCAGACTGCGTTGCTGACCACAGGCATTGAAAATAGAATTAAATAAGAAAAACAACAGCAAAGCATAAACAAAAAACTCTAACCGTTTAGAAAATGTTAAATGCTACTCTAATAATAATTGTGCTGGGAAGAATTAAGGAGCAATTTTGGGGGGGTTTTTTGTTTGTTTTTTAGTGAGTGATGATGAAAAAGATGCTTCCTATTAAATCTGGACTGCTACCAGAGAGAGTAGCTCTTAAAGAAACTGTGTTTCAGAAACATTTATTTCAATAACAAAGTGAAAATCAACTATGTTAACTATACTTCTGAGATTTTACAAATATTGTAAAAGAAAATCACAAACGAAATAAAAGTAAAATTTTAAAAACAAATGGCAAATGAAATTTTGTGGCAGTTTATAAGTAAAATCAATAATGCATTTTTGTGACTATTGATAAACCAATAGCAAAATTTTTTTTTTTTTTTTGAGTTGGAGTCTCACTCTGTCACCCAGACTGGAGGGCAGTAGCCACTCCCGGCCACCACAGCTTCGACCTGCTGGGCTCCGGCGATCCTTCCGGCCCAGCCTTCTGAGTAGCCGGAATTACAGGCATGCGCTACCATGCCCGGCTGATTTTTTGATTTATTGTAGAGATGAGGTCTCGCCAAGTTGCCCAGACAGGTCTCGAACCCGCGGGCTCAGGCAACCCACCCACCTCAGCCTCCCAAGGCGCGGGATTACAGGCTGAGCCACTGAGCCCAGCTACCAATAGCAAATTTGACGAAAATACGAAAAATCCCAATGAACCAAATAAGAAAGAAGTTAAATTAACGTAAGAGAGAGAAAGGCAGTGGGACTGAAGCAACCTGGGCAGGCTTCCTGCAGAGGGTACTGGGCTCTGCCTTGTCCCTCAAACCCCAGACCAACCGCAGGGATTAGTCGTTGCTTCAGGATGGGAAGCCTCTCCCTGGCCTGGGTTATGGAGACGTCATGGGCATTGGGGGTCTTGCAGTCCCTTCCATAATGCACACCAGGCCAACCTGAATCATCAAATCTAGTCAAGACAAGGTCTTGTCTTTACTCAAGAAGTTGGTTCCTTGTAAAACTCGGTATGCAAATATACAGTACTAGGAATTACCTGAGAGGTTGAAGGAAACCTCTCAATGGACGGTCTAGAGATGCAAGCTCGGAGCACCTTCCTCAAGTTACTGCAGCATATACACACATCCTGGCCACCTTGGATTACACTAGTTATAGGCTCTTAATTCACCCAACAGTCACTTTCCTGCCTTTATCCTAATGGTGTGAGGTGATGCACTTGATCACTTAATGCTCTGCACGTCTTTTAGGCTACTTGGTGGGTTCCTTCTGCACAAAATATTGGTGTATCACCCTAACCCCCCACACACACATGTAAGAGATAATCATAAGACAGTTTCAATCTTTAGTATTGATGTGGGAAAGCTTAAATGAAATTCAGTAGTAAAATGAAAAGATTATTCTTTGTTATTGGCAAAATAACAATGTTTCTTTAATAAAAGAAAACTTTAATTATAAGTTACAATAGGTGAAGTAATTATGTTATATCAATTTCCAAAAAATATATATCTAATAGAACCTATTTCTACTAAAAATTAAGATTTGAGAGATCTTTCCCAAAGCCTAATATTATTTTATTCCAAATAGTTA